TGTTCTAGTACCGAGGGCGTGCTCAGGGTTCTGTCATTTATGGAGACAGCTTTAAATGGCAGGCTTTCTCACACATTGGCCATATTGTGGAATATCAGTCCCCTTGAAGTTAGGTTGACACAGTGATGGAAAAATTATAAAATTATACAAAATTATTAAATAAAGCTGAAAATACTTCCCCTTCACTTTCTCCTCCCACCTTTGCAGTCTTTCCCCCATCTTCCTCTTCTGTCCCTATGGTCTCCAGTTGCACTTGTAAATTGGACCAGTCCCAAATTACTGCATAACCCAACATAGCCATGTTTTCGTCCTAATGTAGCCTTTTAATTTATCACCAGGAGAATAATGAAAATGTCCTCATCAAAGGAGCAGGAAGTGAGAAACCATCGTTATTCCTTTCTAATCCTCAGCGGCTTTGCTTTATAACAGAAAAATATATTTTCCTTTGTTTAAATATCTCATCTATTCAAAATGACAGCTCCTTTATATTTCCTGCCTGAAAAAATACATTTCTATTCTCCAGAGTCCCTTTTTCTTGGAAAGTTGGCACCCAATAACAATTGAATAAAGTTTGGCAATTTCTCCTCAGTGCGTGTTCCTTTCTTCAACAAGAATACACCACAGCATTTTTCCTGACTTTCTGAAAAACTTCAAGGCCTGGTTGTTTTATCAGGCTTGAGATTCCAGGGAATCAGCGAATTAGTGAGGTTGTGCCATTATTATTCACCTATTATTTATTCTTTGTAACTGCATTTTTTACAGTTTAATGTTTTTAACAGTTGTTATTTGTGTATTATTTAACTTTGTTGTACATCATCCAAAGTAATTTGCTTTGTGAAATGGATGAGTGTATAAATTTGTAAAATAATTTTTAAAAATTGACCAATCAAATAGCTGAACTTCCGCATGGAGATTGAAAATTGTGATGTGGGATTTGGCTGGGCTGGTCAATAATTTAAATAAACATGAAACCAGGTAATCTTTGCAAAATCAAATCAGATACCTGTACAATTAGAAGACATGCTAATTATATTGGTATCTGATACAATTAATTAATTAGGTTCCTTGGCAAAATTATTCAGATACCTTCATACTCAGATAAAATTAATCAGATACCTTGACAAAATCACACAAGATACCTGTACAATTAGCACAGCTGCCCTCCAGGGCTGTGTGCTCTCTCCAGAAAGGAAGGGAAGGGAAGAGAAGTTGCCTCCTGAAAAAGCACACTTGGGACATACATCAGGAATGGGGAACCTGTTGCTTTTCAGGTACTTCATCATCCCTTCTTACCTTTGGCCATGCTGAGGTTCCATGAGAATTGTAGCTCTCTAAGGTCTGAAAGGCCACAGATGTCGCCAGTGTAGCAACCCATGAACTTATCACTATGTAATTAGATGAGTATACTGTAATGTTCTCTGTATCAGCCTGACTCTGGAAAAGATCTTCAGCTATCTTTGGGACAAAATGTAGCAGCCAAGATGTTAGTAGGTAATATTCCTATTCAAATTGACTGTTTTGTTACTAGTAGGGCAGCTTTTGAACATAAAGTCCTATCTGGCTTGGTTCCAGGATTTCCCCTTGAAACCCACTTCAATCTATCCAGCCCATCTAGGAGTATAGGAAAAACACCACTTAGGGTCCAGTGCCTGCAAGAAAACTAAATGAGGAAAGGACATGAGGGCAACACTCACTGAGTTTGGGAATGTATACTTAACCCCCAAAGGTACTCCTGGCAGTCTCCCTATTGATTTACAAAGACTATTATTTAACTAGACATTTGGAGAATGATTTTTGAATTTGAGTTTTGACTGGGTTGCCAAATTCAGCACTTTATGTTTTTTTGCTTGTATGTTTCTAATTAAATTATTATGAACCAATAAATCAATAAGGTGCTTACTGAAAAGATGAACTGTTGGTTTTCCAAGAAACGTTAAAAGCAGTGGTTAGGAAAAATACATGGGTCCTCACAAGTGGTATCACTAATCATGCAAATTACATTTTTATAACTCAATGATGCAAATCACACAATCACATAATTTTTATCATTAACATACATAATGATGGATGTTAATGAGGGAGTCATGGCAGAGAGGTATGTGACTGGAACAAGGTACTTGCAAATGCAGATTGTGATTCTATTGGACATCGATGAATATTGCCATGACCTTATCACTGCTTCTATTGGACATCTATGAATATCTCTTATTTTGGAGCCATTTTTCTTTTCTGAGCACATCACAATCTGCAGTTGCAAGTACCTTGTTCCAGTCACAGACCTCTTTGCAAAATATATTATTCTGGATTGTCTAATCTGAATTTTTACTAATCATGGTGGTAGTTGATTAAACCTGAACTGCTTACAAGCATTAAGTTTCTATTCTGAAATGATAACATTTCAATAACTGCTTGGAATATAAAGGGATAAAATATTTATAAAACATGAATCAAAGCATTATATTAACATTTCTAACTATAATTAAATGAACTTTATAATTCATTTAAGTATAATGCAGCTTGGAGTATTGTTTTTTTGAAACACTTTAGCATTATTATATTTAATACTTTTAGGAAGAAGTGGACAGGTTAAGAACAAGATCTGCCATACCTTAATTTATTCACCATGTAAAGCTAATTGCAACAGAAACTAATGAAAATTTCAGTAGCAGTCAAATTATTGCATATATTGAATACTATAACAATCCAACCAGAGGTGGTATTCGGCAGGTTCTGACCAGTTCTGGAGACCGGTAGCGCAAACAAAAAGTAAGAGAACACCTGTGTGATCTTAATGAAAACAAATCACCGGGGCCTGATGGATTACATCCCAGAGTTTTAAAGGAGTTGGCAGAGGTCAACTCAGAACTACTGCACCATATCTTTCAAAAATCCAGGAGCACCAGGGAACTACCAGAGGACTGGAAAAGAGCTGATGTGATTCCCATCTTCAAAAAAGGAGAGAAAAAAACAGACCCAGGAAACTACAGACCAGCTTAACATCAATACCCGGGAAGATACTGGAAAAGATAATAATAAAACAGATCTGCCAACATCTAGAAACAAGTAATAACTAGCAGTCAGCACGGGTTTGTTAAAAATAGATCATGCCAAACCAATCTTATTTCATTCTTCAACACAGTGATAAATTAATAGACCAGCAAAATACTGTGGACATATTTAGATTTCAGCAAGGCATTTGACAAAGTAGACCACAACCTACTTCTTAGTAAGCTAGAAAAATGTGGAATAGATAGCACTACCACTAGATGGACTCACAACTGGCTGGCAAACCATACTCAACGAGTAGTCCTTAATGGGTCTAAATCTACATGGAGGGAAGTAAGCAGTTTGGTGCCATACGGTTCCGTCTTAGGTCCAGTACTATTCAATATCTTCATTAACAACTTAGATGAGGGAATAGAAGGGGAACTTACCAAATTTGCAGATGATACGAAGCTGGCAGGAATAGCTAACACCCTAGAAGATAGTCTCAAGGTCCAGATGGATCTTGACAGACTAGACCACTGGGCCATATCTAACAAAATGAAATTTAATGTAGAGAAAAGTAAAGTCCTACACTTTGGCAAGAAAAACCAAAAGTATACGTATAGACTGGGTGAAACCAGGGTCAATAGCAGAGGGATCTTAGTGGACAACCAGCTAAATATGAGCCAGCGGTGTGCAGCCACCGCCAAAAAAGCGAATGCAATCCTAAATTGTATTAACAGAGGGATACAATCAAGATCAAGGGAAGTACTAATAGCACTCTATAAAGCCTTCGTAAGACCACACCTAGAGTACTGCATCCAGTTTTGTTCATCACATTATAAAAAAGATGTTGAGACTCTAGAAAAAGTACAGAGAAGAGCAACCAGGATGATTAGGGGACTGGAGGCTAAAACATACAATGAATGGGCTTATATTAAGACTCATGCTGAAAAATCAGGCTAGGGTTTATTTTCAGAAAAACACAGTAGATGAGATTATGAGGAATAGAAGTTTAAACTTAGCAGGAAGATCTGGTAGGGCACCATTGGGTGAACAAAGTATTTTTCACATTGGGCCATGGTCTATCAAGCTGTACCTCTGTACCTTGACTCCTTTACCAACATTTCGGTCAAGTGGACTTTGTTTTATTTCTTTGCCATATAACATAATTTATGTACTGGATGTTTTTTAAATAATGTATTTTGCTTTTGTTTCTTTGTTTTCAGTCCAGAATCACATTGTATGTATTGGGCGGTATTACAACATGCATGTCATAAAAATAAAGTAAAGTAAAGCAATTATTTCCCAAACCACAAATCTCGTCACGGATCTGATGAACTTTCCTGAAATATATTGCCCTGCAATGTAGAAGTAAATTGGCAAACTGTTGCGGCAATCACTTGTTTATTTCTGATTATCTATTTTTTTCTTAGCAACAGAAATTTTGGGCTCAATTGTGGTCAAACATCAAGGACTATATTGCTTGTCTTCTACTGAAGAAAATAAATCAGTTATACAAATTGTAGCAGTTAGGACAGCAATTCAAGACATTCCCAGTAAAATTATAGTTTAGTTTCTGACCACAAAATCAAATGGTTTGTTATTATAGACTGTAATATAATAGGTAAGTAGAGACTTCCAACACTTTATGTGAAAAGTAAAGGTGCTGGCATGATTGAAGAAATACCAAGCATGATTACGCTTCTTGGTATTTCCTCAAAGAAGCTGCACAGCAGCCACATGATTTCAGGAAAATATGTCTGTCTTTGAGATATAACGCCATGATTATCGTAGCCAGTTCCTCTTTAGTTAAATCTGATTCTTTTTCTGAATATTGGGATACTGGGCAAGCCCAGAAAACAAATGCAGTATCTTATGCAGGCTCACAGGTTCAGAGTGCATTATCACGCATCCCAAAAACATCTTTTTTTGCTTCCTGTCCAGAGAGCTGCATACCCTAATAATGAGCTTATTTAAAAAAAAAAGAAAAAGAAAAGTTAGTTCCTTAATGTCATCTAAATCATGATTTAGAGTAGGTATGGCACAGAGGGAAAATCATGCTTGGAGTTTTCAAACAAGCCTACATTTGTTTTAAATGCATACAGACTATACCGACAATAAAAGAAATGTAAGATGAAAAACAAGCACTGTCTTTCTCATTACTTTTACCATGCAACATAAAGGACAAATGGCGCAAACAAGAATATGAGGTCACTCAGATCTCAAATCAAATATTCAAAATCATGCAAAGACATCAAGGCATGTTATAGCTAAATATACTTATCCTTGCTCAACCACTTTCATTATAAAATCTGTATGCATTTAAAAAGCATGAGCAACATTCAAATGGATGAAGTGTGTTTTGAAAAACAAAAGTAGTGCTAGTGTGTGGTTCAAAGTTCTTCCTTTCCAAGGTGATAATCCTCTGCAGCTGCAATGCAGCTACAATGATCAATGAATTGACATCATACAAAACTACTTAACATAAAACAGTTTGCAAACCACCGTTTCCCAGACTTACACAAAGAGGTATTAATTTAGTCAAACGACAAATCTCAAGAAGGATAAAGTGTATGGCTGTCAGGAAAAAGACATTTTGTATACACGTTTTATAGTTGACAGTGGTCTTACATAATCTTTAAATTCTGCTTAGGAAGATATTAAGGATTTTAAAAAATATTCCTGAGAAAATATAAGAGCTCTGATGCATAAAGGCCTTAAAATATTCTTTGGATATAATTCTGATTTTAATAAATGAAATGGAGCTTTAATATTAAAGCTTACACAAATGTCATATATTATTCAGATATAGGCATAAGGACATCAACAGTATTTATTTAAAATACTTTCATCATGGAAACCTAATTTATGAGAATAGTATTTTCCCAAGAAAAATAACATCAGGATACTCTGAATACTAATACAAAAAAAGCTCAGCACATCCAAACCAGTCTTTAGGTCTGTAAGTCTTAAGTTGTTTATTTAGTGAACACTGCTATCCATTTTTAGGTCAGATTTGTTCTTGTCATTCTTCACTGAATAGATGAAATAGGTTAAGGTATCTTTTTCATTCACTGGAATAGTCCGAAAATGACATCCAATTATCTGGAGAGGGGGAAAAAAAGTATTTGTCTATATATTGAAAAGAAATATTGGACCTCAGAAGTAAGTCAAGTAATAACAATTTATTAAAATTTTAAGGAGTTCCTGCAAGAATGGAAGCATTAAGATACCAGCCATCTTGAAAAGTACATTAAAATAATAACATAATTATTATGCTTTGATTAAGGAATAATAAAAAACTAATATGCCCATTAATCATGTATCTTAAATGATATGGTGCAATATACTAAAGACTAACCTATCAAAGTAATGTAAAAATAAGTTTAATAAATTATCAAATACGGACATTCATATTTTAGAACATTTGAGAATCCAACTACTCATAAATGCCTTTTTTTTAGTTTGTTAAAACTTTTCTTAGTTTAATATAGCTAAGGATCTAATAATTTTTTGTATCATGCCTTTATTATGTACTATTCTTTTACACTAATTATAAAAAACATATTCTGAAATAACAAGGGTCCATATGGAGACAATTATGCATCATCACCTTGATAAGGTGACCAAATTTTCAATTTAGACATATAGGACAAGTTTTTGGTAAACACAAAATTTCAAAATAACCTCAAGAAACACAAAAAGTAAGCTTGATTCAATCAAATGTTCTTGATCCGTAGCCCCCAACCTTTTGGGCATCAGGTTCTGCTGAGAGAGGTTTTTCTGCGGACTGGTGGGTGTGCGGTTTCATGTGTTGCCTGCATCCTCCTGCAAATGGGGCTTCGCTTGTTTGCACAGACCAGTTTCTGGCATGCATGGACCGGTGCTGGTCCATGGACAGGGAGTTGTGAACTTCTATTCTTGATGAAAATCAGAAGTACTGTTTCATGTTATATCTGTGCACTTGAATACTACAATTTATCAGCTTCCTTTAAGAGGCGCAGTAGCTTAATGACATTGGAGATGATCTCCAATGGTTTGAGTCCTAGCACTGCATGCTGGGATGATGCATGTTGGCTCCTGTCAGTCGCCTCAACTTCTGTCCCCCGAACAGTTTGAAAGCATGTTTTATGCAAATAGATAAAATAGGAGTGGGGGAATGAGCTGATGCTCCATGCAGGCAGTCAGATTCCTAACCTCTGAACCTTCCCAATTGTTGCGCCAATTGGCAAGGCAGCTCTGGAAAGGAGAGGGCCTTGGATGATACTACAACAACTTGTCCTTCTTTCTGGTATGAAGCCAGTTTGCCCTCTAGTGGGGTGCCATGGAAAGTTTCTGAGTATTTCCTACAACAGAGCTGGTACCTTGGCAGCCAAACTACTACTCTGCAATAGCATTGTGGTCTCCTGGCTAATATAACAACACCTTATGCTAACAATAATAACAACAACAATATTAAGTAGAAATAGTTTCCTTCGTAATATCCCTGGTTAAATTTGGTGATATAACCTATTCTATATTATAATCTATTTCTAGAATACACACACACACACACACACACACACACACACACATATATGGATCTTTTGTTATTCGGGTTTTCTTCCGCATAAAATTGGAAGTATCTAGGCAACGTTTCAATGAAGTCTCATTCATCATCTTCAGGCTTGTGTCTTCAGCTCTGTTTCTTACTCTGAGAAGCACAGAGCCAAAGATACAAGCCTGAAGATGATGAATGAGACTTCATCGAAACGTTGCCTAGATACTTCCAATTTTACGCGGGAGAAAACCCGAATAACAAAAGATCCACATACAAATACCCGCGAGAACATCAGAAAACATACATACATACATACATACATATTTTCAATTTACATAGCTACCCATTCTCCCTTATGATCTTCTAGGTGGATAAAAGCATAAACATATTTTAAAAACTCAAACAAATCGGCAATGTACACATAATATAAGCAAGCTGGACCAATTCTGTTTCATTTCTTCTTAATTCAGTTTTAAAACATCTGAGAATGGATATGCAATTCAATACTCTCCAAATGTAGGTGACCAATACCTGCAGCTTTTTTTTCCAAATCTTTTTTCTGATAATATCCAAGCCTACATTTGCTTTTCCATTGTTTTTACAATTGAGAAAATTTTGGTGGGTCGCAGAGAAATCTCACCCCCAGAGCACCCTTCCCCAAAGCAATTAATCCAGGCTGCGCAGAAACACCAGGCTGCACAGCCCACATGGCCCATGAGGAAACCCTCTCTGCTCACTCACTCCTTACTGGGCAAACTTGCCTGCTAAAATGCTATTTTTCCTTTATCCAACCATCATCTGTTCTGCTATGCCGGGAGATTTAGATTAGCTAGGAAGCAGGAAATAGTTGGATTTCTTGCTTTCTAGCTAGTCTTTAGATTTTCGACTCTGCTTTTAAGCACAGCTGAACCTCCCTTAGGACTGAAGATTGTATTATTCAGTGTAGACTCACGGCAGGCAAATTTGAGAGACTGAGCTAGCCGATGGCAGATAGATAGATCACTGAATGATTCTGTGAGCAACTCAATCTGCCTGCCTGCTTTGCCTGAATTTGGGCAAAAGTTGCTCTTTTTTATATATAAAAAAATCAATATTTACATACATGATGTGTTGTGAGTTAATTTTGGGAGTTTGCTTGCTAGCAAATTTGGAGTTTGTTTGCAAGTGAAATTTATGTGACAGACTGAGCTAGCCAATGGCAGATAGATAGATCTCTGAATGAATCTGTGATTCTGTGAGCAACTCAATCTGCCTGCCTGCTTTTGGGTAAAAGTTGCTCTTTTTTATAAAAAATTCAATATTTATATAAATATTTATAATATTTACATACAAGCTATGCCCAGCCAGTCACATGACCACCAAGCCACACCCACAAATTAGGCCATGCCCACAGAGCCAGTTCGTGGCCCTGGGATTTAAAATTATGAGTTTGGTGGTCCCTGAGGTCCAAAAGGTTGGTGACCCCTGTATTACAGCACATTTAATTTTTTGTACTCCAAAGAAAAAATAAAGTTCCACTTACTTCAACAAGTTGTGCTTTATTAAGTCCAGGTCTGGTCTGTAATTTGAAGTGCCTTTTGTATCTTCTTAGTGTATTTACTTGTAGCTGAAACAGATCAACCTGGAAAGGAAGAAACGTGGTTCTTTAATTTGACAGTTATTGTCAGCCTATTTTATCTTGCAAATATTGTGTGAAATTTTGAACAATATTGTCTTCATTCTGTAATGTGTAACAGGATGGTGCAACAAGAGCTCTGGTTAAGGATGACACACATTTTACACCAATAAAGGGACCTAGCTTCAGTCTCCAGAGACTGTTTTAAAATATCTCAAGTTAGAGGCACTGGGGGGTAGTGCCACAAATCCACAACACTTCTATTAGAATAGGCTACAAAATAATGAATTTCATGTGGTAAAGTTAACTATCTCATCCTAGTAATGAGCTTAAAGTACAGCAAAACATCTATGCTGACCAAAACCTAAAATACAAAACTCTTTTAACAACCATTCTTTATTTATGATATAAACTAAGATGAATAAATGACATTCCAGATGTTATTGAAATATAGCTCTATACATTTCAAAGTCATAATTCATTTTTACTGTCATTTATATTTTTTTTAGCTAAAATCGTTCATTCTTAGAAGTAAGCCTAATATTTGGAGTTGATATAGACCAGGGGTGTCAAACTCAAGGCCCATGAGCTGGATCTGGCCTGCGATGTAGTTGGATCCAGCCTGCGGAGCCATCCTGGTCTACCAGTGTCACTTTAGCCTGGTCTACCCAATGCAGGAAAAAAAAGTTCAGGGCAGCGAAGTTTCAGCTTGGTCTACCAGGTGCAAAGAGGAAAGATCAGGCCAATGTAGCTCCGGCCCAGTCTACCCAATTAGGCCAGTGTGGCTTTGGCCCGGTCTACTCAATGAGAAGAGGAAACAAGCCAGCAGTTTGGGGAGTGGCGTCAAGCTGGCCATGCCCACCTAATCGGCTGCACTCACCCAGCCATACACCCCAGGCCCCCTGAGATCAAACACAACCCTGATGTGACCCTCAGTGAAATTGAATTTGACACCCCTGATATAGACTGTCTGAAATCACAATTGGGCAAAAATTGGGATGAATATAAATCTAATAAAACATAAATAACACTTAGCACTAAATGAGATGCAGCAAATATTTAAGCCACCGAGTTCTTGAATAAAGTACTACTTTTGTATCACATATGAATTATGAAGAGGATAATTCTAAGGAAAAAGTATAAACCTACCTCTGGAGTATCGATGTCTTGCACTGGTGAATCACCATCATCATCACTGCCTTTTCTCTTTCTTCTGTTTCTGACACTCTGAATTAAGTTTTTGTGGAAATCACAAATATAAAGATGTCTTGCCTGTAAGTTTAAAGAGATAGTTTAACATGCATCTCTGTAACATTTTCTGTAGTCATAGTTCACATGCAAATGATTTTATTAATATATAGTAAGCAAAGTAATCATATTAATCACTAACCCATCTGATTTCACTAGCTGATGTAAGATTAAAGTTGGTACTTTAGTTACTGCAGTACTGTACATCATGACTTAGTAAATGTTTTAATCCTAACATAATCCTACTAGCTAAGTAAACTGTAAAAAAATGTATATAAAAATGTGTTCATATATATATAAAATGTATAGACAAGAACACAACAATTATATATAAAAAAAGAAATGTTCAAACAGCTCGGCACTTTTACTTTCCTTCTAATATGTTTTAAAATATTAAATTGCAAAAGTAAAATTTCTGACTGTATTCTATGCAAAATAGATACTTTGGATTGAAAATTAAGTAACAAAGAAAGCTGTAAAGTGGTACTTTAAGAAAAAATGAACGGGTCATTTAATGATGCATACACAATATTAGAATTATTTCTACCACATAAATAAGTTGTTTCAGGAAAAAATACCCACTTCAGTAAAGAACTAAAGACTTTAGATGCAACAAAGTATATTTTATTGGCATTCACAACTATAAGGACCAATAGGATATTTACTAAAAGAATATTGAAAAGCCTCAAAGCCCACAAGGTTACAGGTTATATATTCTCTGAAATAAAATAAAGGAGAAAGGATTTATAGGACTTAAATGATAACATGATTTTATGTCAGGAATATAGAATCTGATAACATGGGTTGACCTCACAAGACCTTGACTCTTTTAAGTTTTGCTCGTCTAAGGAAGCTCCCACCTTTCTACTGATGTGTGCTGATATTACGGATATTATCAGCTTATAAAATAGACAGTGTCCTTTAATGTTTGATTTCCTTCCTACCATAGAAAAGATAATAAGTTGGTTTTTGCTTTTGTTATCTACAGTCATCAGACAATTCCAGTTTGCCTCCTTTCATATACACTTCAGGATCATATGTACAGATAGAATATGATTCATCTCCCACGTTCCTCAATTTTCTTTTCCCTCCTTTTTGGTGGATGCAGTGGATAGAGACCAGAATGACAATAGACAGACTATGCTGGAGTTGACAGTTGACATCAGGAATTACAAACCATACAACAAGCTCCACAATAAGACAGTCTATACATTACCCATAGATATATAAGCATTTTATCAGAAAGAAGAAAAATCTAATAAACAAATCTACATTATCCACTAGGTATTAATTACATTAATTTATGTTCTAGGACCTGGACTTATTTCTTCCAGGTTGTGTTATTAATTGTGGATCAACACAATGTTAATTTGCATATGGGTATGCTGATTAATCTAAAGAAACATGAAAAATGCATTAATTTACATACTGCACTTCCAATATGGTATGAAAACCCTCACAAAGTACTACACATCAAAGCATTACACATCTAACTATATTTATTTGCTTTACAGAACCTAATAATGCTTCCTGTCAAGAAAGTATCTAGCAGTGTACAATGAAGTAACAATTCTAAATCCATTTGCTAAGGACAGAGTATCTCACCGAATTCTAATAAAAATAAATGTTCCAGTGGTGCTATTAATCCGCCAAGGATCCCACTGGAAGAGTTTATTATCTTTGTTTTGGTTTAGGATCAGTAGCATGCTTGGCAAGCAGTAAGATCACACACACACACACCCTCTTTCCCCTCCAAAAATGTGACTCTTCATGCGCTGCCAACATTTAACAACACTACTTTAATGCAGCTAACGAGACATATCCCAGACTTGTTCTTTCCGGTGAAACGCTTCTATATTAGGGAGGTAGAACCTGACAGACGTTTACTGTCCGGATTACGTGCCTCGAGTTGAGGAATGTCTCGCACTAAAGGGATTTTTTTTCCCCTCATTCTTTTGTTTTGCAATGTGTGCAGAAGCCACGAATGTATTTGGGGGCATTTTGTATTTTAACTAGAAAGGTTTTCTAAGAGCTTGATGGCTGCCAAGAGGAAGACGACAGAGTGGCAAAATGGGACGTGCAACGCTGCAGCACGAGGCGGAGCAGTGAAGTACTGTCCTCCTCTCCAGGGGGAAACAAATTCAGTGCTTCATGGAAACCCACAGGCACACCGACGGTCGGTACACGAACAGCGATAAACGATATTTGCAATTTCTTGCCTAGAGGCCGTTCACACGACTTTATGGTAAATTCCGCCACCACGTTCAAGGGAAAAAAGAATGAGACGGAGACAGACAAAAGCATAAAAAGAGCAACAAGAGAAGCTACTTCCAACCACTCACAAAGGCCAGTAGCCGAGGCTGCTCGGCTTTTGCAGCGTCAGCCCACAGCCAACTCAACAGAAAGGAGCCAACAAAACCAAACAAAAAGCTCTGTAACAGCTAACCCTTCAAAAAATCTGCAAGGAAGAAGCGAAAAATCAGATAAATCGCTACCGTCAGGTCTTTTCCAGGGCTAAAGCCTTCTCCATGCAAATAACTATTTAATACAGACTCCTAACGTAGACAAAAAACATAGGTCGCCACAAAAAGCTGGAGCGGGCCGTAAGGAAAGGGCAAATTTCCCTCCTTCACTAAAGCTGTTTTTCCAGAGAGAAAGCCAGCCAAACCGTGCTAAAATGAAAGGAACTCGAACCGAAGACAACCAGACCACAGAACCTTTGGCTTATCTGGAAAAGCACTTGTCCCATTCATTCTCCGGAGTCGGTTGGCTTTTGTCTTCCTTCCTTTTGCAACCACCGCTGCTGAGGATAATATGGGGCTGGCGATGGCGGCTTTTAAAAAGGGTCAAGGGCTAATCCCAAGCCAGGAGCTCCCGCCAGATTGAAGACACTTACACTTTTGTCCAGCTCGATCTTCACCTTCTTCTGCGAGATGCTCTTCTGGATCCGCTTGCTGAAGCTAGCGTTGCCCGCAGCTCGGTTACACCGCTCGCCCTCCTCCCGTAAGCAGCATAACTGCCCAGCACCAGGTCCTGCAGTCCCAAGGGGACCGGCTGAGCCCGCGGCTGTCGCGGCAGCAGCCGACGAAGTCGCTCCCAGCCCGGCCGTCGGCTGCGGAAGGGGTGGCGGGGTCGGCAGGACTTCCACCGCGGCGGTGGCGTTAGCTACAACGGCCGGGACGGCGGCGGCTTCTCCCCCGCCGCGGGTCACTTCCTCGGGGCCAAAGCCGTTCATTGCCCGCCTGCTTAAGCCGGCGGACTAAGCCTTCCCCGAAGTAAAGTAACTCAACTGGGCGGCGTTCCTGCTACTGCAGCTCCCCCCCCCCCGCTCCCCACTCCACCTTCTTCCAGACACCGCCTCCGTCTCCTTTTGTCAGGAAGGGATGATCGGAGGAAGGCCACTCGGCCTCTCGCAATGCCAAGGGGCAAGGGCTTCCCTGCGATGGGGGAAAGACAAAAGTCTGACACGCCCCGAGTCCTGAAGACGAGAGTAGTGCAAAATGCCCGCTCCTCTTGCTCCCAAGGCTGACACCGAGGGGAGAGCGAGAAACGCCACTCTCCCGCCTCCTCTGCCTCTGTAAAAAAGCAAAGCCCAGCCTTTCCCCCGAAGCCGCCGCGCCTCCAGAATCTCGCCTCCCCGAAGTAATTGAAATTCCGTCTCCTTCCCTTAAGTAAAGCTACGGACAGGTCAGCTCCGTTTGCTCCTTTCCCGCACTCTTTTCAACCTGCTGTAGACTTTTCGGTTGTTTCCAAATTGCAATAGCAACAACCTGCCCCAGTGCTGTTTTTTTTTCTCCTCCGCCTTTCCTCACCTTCCGGGTCTTTTCGGGAAAAGTAGTTTTTCCCCGACTCGCCTTCCATTAAAGGAGCAAGAGAACGGACTACAAATCCCAAAATGCATCACTGGCGTTAAGCAGGACTGTATTTACAAAGCGATGGAACGCGGCGGCTTAGCGGGTGTTCGCTTGGGCGCGCGTGCGCAAGCCATTTTACTGGCTGTGGCGAGCCGCCTTCGGAAAGGCGGCGAATGAGGGGCCTTCCTTCTTTCCTGCCGTCTTACTAGGCGGAAGCACGGAAAACAAGATCCCCTTCGACTTGTTACACTGGAATGGCTGTGGAAAGGTCTTACGCTGCAGTACACGCATGACCACGTTACTATGTCTATCTAACTGACGTTTGTTAGAGGACACCTGGGTTAGAAGAGGCGGCGCTTCGTGCAGCCGTTGATGTTTGAAATCTGTACTGACGGTTGAGGAGGGGGGACGGGGGGGAATAGAGCCGTCGCCTTGCTGCAGTCTGTCTCCTTGGAGGCAATAAAGCGCGGCGCTTGCAGTTGGTTTTCTCCATGACTGTGCAGATCTCCAACTTGCTGCGTTTTCTTAGAAGCGCCTTGAAAAGCGTGGCTCTTGCAGCTTGGTGTAGGCTTCGCTCAAGGCGGTTTTGTGCGAACCGTTTCTCAGTTCAAGAGGAGGTAGTCTTGTAGAAAATATTTCAGCAATAGTCGAGTTTAGCTGAGCATTTCCTCCCTACAGGCAAAATACAAATCATCTGAATAACAAAATAACGGCTGTTAAGTCAACTAAATAATTTTCAAGGTAGCTCATAAATTTTAACTTTTATTAACACTCATTTTAATATAGTGCAGTACATACTTTGTAAAATTATTTTCTAACAGCTATTCTAAAGGCATATGAAATAAGTATGTAGAATGAAGAAAGAAAAACTTATCAACATCAGGCAGCAATAGGGTTGTCGCTGTTCAGTCATGTCTGACTCTTGACAATTCTAAGGGTCAAGTCTCCAAATCTTCCAATCTTGCATTGCTTTGAGTTTTTCTATGCTTTGGCTGATGTCAGCTTTGATGGTGGCCAGAGACCATGTTCTCTTGACAGCCTGTTTTCCTTTTACAGCTAACTCTTCCAAACAATTGATTTCTCCAGTGACTTCCCCCATATGACATGCCATTGCTTCCCCGGGCGGTATTAATTTGAAATACTTCTAACCTGGACTTTAGGCTTCCTTATTATTATTTGCTTTTCAATAAAGGTGATGTTAGCATTTTAGCACAACATCCATGACTTCTTTTGAAACTTGTTTTCCTTTTGGCCAACACCATTTTTTTAAATTGGCAGGAACTAACCTTTTCAGATACTAAACAATAGGGAGTATACATTATGTAGATTAAAGCCTTCTTAGTAAACTTTAAATTTGCCTGAAATACTTGTAACGGATAACAGCAAAAGGGAATGAAAAAGCAGGGATTGGATTTCAGGATTAGGTCCAGTTCCATGTCAGCTGAGATGCCTGAGTTTTAAAAGGCAACATAACTGGTCAAGAAATTCCTTTGGATAAGATAGTTTTGAAGTTCTTAAAAACTACAGAACTTGTACTTTAAATATTGGTATGTTAGCACATGCCTTGCCATATCTAACAAGAATATCGGATAATTAAGTGCTAGATGATAAAATATTTAAAACGCGAAATAGCAATGGTACCTTTGCTACCATTGTGATCTATGTTTTTTTCCTGTTTAAAATATATAGAGTCTTCCAAATTCTAAACATTACTGTTAGAAGATTTACAATACATAGAGATCATCTTGTATTGGTAGATGCTTTCTCAAAACATCATTTTTCGTTTGCACTGTAATGGAGCTACAATCAACCAGAAAGTATCTACACAAATAAAGACTTTGAAGTGAATTAAGTAAGACTTAAGAAATAAAACTTGTTTGTGAATTACAAAAGCTTAATAGAGATAAGGTAAAAGAAAATTATTGAAAGTTCCAAATTGTATGGAAGAGTTCATTGGAGTCTGATTTCACTTCCCATCTTTGCATTTTGGGAACTAAACTTGTACTTCTAAAACAGATCAGGGGTATCAAACTCAATTTCACTGAGGGACACATCAGGGTTGTGGTTGACCTTAGGGGGCTGGACGGGTGTGGCAGATGATGGGTGTAGACAACTGGGTGGATGTGGCCAACTTGAGGCCATTTGCTGGGTGTGGTTGACTGGGTGGGCATGGCCGGCTTAATGCCACTCCCCAAACTACTGGCATGTTTCCTCTTCACTGGGTAGAGCGGGCCGAAGCCACGCTGCCCCGATGTTTCTTCTTTGCATTGGTAAACCAGGTGAAAGCGACATGGGCTGGTCCCTTACATTTTCCAGGATGGCCTTGTGTTTGACATCTGTGCTATAGATGAATCTACTGTCCAGCTTTACAGTTAGGCCTAGGTCTCCTGGGAAAAATAAACTATGTGTTTAAGCATTGTAATATGGAAATTTAAATATGTGCATTTTGACACTATAAATGTTTACTTAGAAGTTCCCTTTTCCTAAAACCTATTCATAGATATCTGCATAGGATTGTATCCTATGTATACAAAACATTTTGGTCATAAATAAGACTGTTTTAAGAGCAAATCCAAGGGGGGAAAAGTTAATAAACTAAGGACTGTATTATTTAATTTTGAATGCAGATAAATTTAGAAATACGTTCCTATTAAGCAGGAAACATGAGAAGGTAAGCAGTGACCAAAATTGATCTTTAGGAACTGAAAATCATGACAGCAAAGAATAATTCCAGGAAACAGTTGTGCACAAGTAGTATAATACTATTTTCTAAACAAGATTGGAAACTACTAAGTTGACTTTCATTTTCCTGTAAGACAGGGGTCCCCAATCCCTGCGCTGCAGATGGTATCTGTCTGCAGTCTGTTTGAAACCAGGTAGTGCAAGTAAGCAAAGTTTCATCTGTGCATGTAGGATGTAGATAGTGTGTGAAACCATGCCCTCCTGGTCCAGTGCAGCACAAAAGATTGAAGGGCACTGTTCTAAGAGATACCTTGAAAATAAAAGGAGCTTTGGAGTCTTCCCAAAATGGCATCTTAACTCAGCAGGATTTTTTTTCCCCTGCTGACAACTGGTTTTGTTGCCAAAGCTGCATCTTTTAGCAGCACAACTTCCCGGATTTGAACAGCAGTTATTAGGAATGATTCAAGATGATCCTTTGACAACTGTAGACCTAGGTGAGAAGAGCAATTCTCAGTGTGTGAGACTCCATCTTCCCTTCTAGCTGTTTGCTGTTTTAAGAACACCTGTGGTTTTAAAGGCAGGTTTTGATTTTTTTCTTTTCGATTTTTACCTTCAAATGTTAATTAACAGGTGAATGCTGATTTAGTTTAATCCTCTGCTGAATTTTAAAAGTTATTTAATTAAAAAAATTATATTAATAGCTCCCATAAATCACTTCCACTTTTTCACATGGAAGGCATGGTAAACTTTGGATAATGAAAGAGATCTCATTTGATTTACATCTAACTTTACTGGAATTTCATATTTTATAATCTTTAAAAGAAAAAAAACAAGTGGATTTAATTTTTGATGCTTGAAAAACTCAAAATATTTTTGAGGCTAGTCTGCTACCCAGTTTTTATTGTCTGAGAGAAGTTGTTTTTGACCTGTTGAAAAAGTTTCCGCTGTGAAAAGTTTAATTACTTTATAGCTTGATATAATTCTTTATTGGCCAAGTGTGATTGGAGACACAAGGAATTTGTCTAATTTACAACTTAAAAATTTGGATAAAAAGCTTAATAAAGTTTTAAATCAACTTGAAAATAGTAACTAGATGCAAGTAAAAGCAGTACAAGATCTACAGTCTGATGGATTGGAATGTAATTTGCCGCTGGCAGACCTGAAAGATGTGCTGGCCTTGGAAAATGCAAGTTGGCAAAAGAACTCTGGGAAAAGTTTGGATTTTAAAGACTCAAAGATGATAGAATTGACCAGTTATGAACTCAACTTTTTCAAGAAGATTGAAGGAGATTGGGGAACATATTTATCATATCCAATTGGAAAACAAAAGTTAAAAGATGTTATGTTACAATTTACAGAAGACTATTTTGTACAACAAAAGCTATGGAGATATACACAACAGAATAGAATACCTTTATTGTCATTGCATTCTACAAATACAATGAAATTTGAAAGCTACTCCAGCACAGTGTCCCAAACACCACATCACAATCGCACTACAGAGTATTAAAAAATTAAAATAATAATTTAAAACCTAGTCTAAAACCTGTCTAAAACATATAGTAAGTTAGATAGTTTTAAAATGCTCTATATACATCGGGCTAAATTACATATGCATTGTTTGATTCAACACAATTATTGCCTTGGAAAAGAAACTTGTTTCTCAGTCTATTAGTCCTCATTTTAAGACACCTATAATGCCTTCTGATGGTAACCGTTCAAAATATGAGTGTCCAGGATGAGAACGGTCTGTGGAGATTTTTAGTGCTCTAGAGAGGAGTCTGGTCTTCGCAATCTTCCAAAGAAGAAAGAGCAACCGATGATTTTTTTGTGCTGTGTTTATAATTCTCTGGAGCATGTTATTATCCACTACAGAGCATCCAGCATACCACACCATTACACAATATGCCAAAATGCTGTCAATGGTAGAACGGTAAAAAGTAACCAGCAACTTCTAACCCAGACCACTCTTTTGCAGCAGTCTCAGAAAGTGCAGGTGCTGTTGGGTCTTCTTTGCAGTGGCCATAGTGTGGACTGACCAAGTAAGGTTGTCAGAAATATGAGTTCCTAGAAATTTAAAACTATGAACTCTTTCCACACAATCTCCGTTGACGTATAGTGGGAGAGGCTCTGCTTTGCATCTTCTGAAGTCTGTAATCAATTCTTTGGTCTTTTTGATGAGAAACAAACATATTAATTCTAGCCTCTTTCATTAATTTCAATCGAAACATCTTTTTGTTTCATTTCAATTATTTCAAATATAATCCTTTAATAATTATTTTAATAATAAAGATAATATGTGTTTGCATAATAATAATAATAATCATCATCATCATAATAATCATAATAATATAAAAGTTACCAATGTCTCTCCTTGCTTTCAATAGTCTATGTTAACTTATTAATTTAGTTGGTTCTTTAGTCTGTCATATTCCCTTTCCGTTACACCTTCTTTTTATAAATTCTAGATTAATACAAATTTTAACACTAAAGAAAAAAAAACAAGCATAGGTTTCCCCCTTTTACTGCTTTGAGTGCGACACCACAATGATTAAAATATACCTTTATTCCCTCATCTTGATTCCCAATAAATCATTATTTTTAAGAAATTACAATAATAATCATTACATCTTTTCATTTGGATCCCGCAGCATATTTCCCCCCCTTGATTATATTACCCTATTTTCTAAATATTTTTAATTGCAGAAATATTCTTATTACCCCTTGTCACCCTGCAGAATCCCCTTTTTAATTCATCAACCATTATCTCTGAAAAAACGATTTCTTTTCAACATTTTACTATTTCCGTATTTCTTTATTTCATGCACTTGTTTCTTACTGCTTCTCCTCCCCCTTTTTTCCTCATATCTTTTCTCATTCCAGTTTATATCCCTCTCTTTCTTAATATCTACCTTTCCCCCTTTCTGCCCGGTCTTTCTGCCTTTCCCGACTTCACAGGTATTCCCCCTTTTGATTCCCTTCTTAAATCTCAACTTTTTAACCTTCCTTCTTTCCCTACTTCTTTGTAGTGTTCTTTGTGTTAATTGTCTATTTAAAATGTCTTCTCCTTGAGTCGATTCCTCCTCCTCTGAAGCTCTTTCTTCTTGTTCTTCAATCGCCATTTCCATTTTTTCTAACACAGAGCAAAGTGATTCGCCTCTTTCCTGTAGTAATTCTCTGATATTTTTAAGTTCCATTTTTAATTCCCGAAGAGATATCATCATTACACACTCTTATATTTTATGATTGTTAAAGTCCACAAAAAAAAAAAAAAAACACTTTTGCTTTCCTTCTTTCTTCTTTCAGTTATCTAAAATTCTCAGTTATTCCAGCCCAGGGTCTATACCAAAAACATCAATCAATCCCACAGTCAGTCTTTCCTTGCTTTTTCCTTTATTCTGGTTCTGCTTTCACTTTCTAAGATTCTTACTTTGTTTCAATATTTCTTTAATGTTATATCCACACAAGTTCATTCAGAAACAGGATGCTTTCCCTTTTGTTTGAGCTCAAGTTTTTGTCAAAAGGTAGCACTCTCCATTATACAAAGTCTTCACCTTTTCCCCCTATTTTTTTATTTAGGGTTTTTCGAACCTCAATATTCCAGCACAGTCCGGTCTCCAATTTGTAAACTTTATTATTATTATTATTTGGCAATCTTAAATCCAGCTTTATTTTATGCCTGTTTATTCCCAAAATATTTTAGTCCAATTTAGTTAAATCTTTAGTTTCAGCTTCTTCCTTTCCTGGTTCGAAGCTCCGCTTAGCTGTCAAAAATATTTTCTTATTTTTTTTCCTGTCCCTTTGTAATTTCGCTGCTCACTTTTCTTTTCTTAAAAATTCCATGTTACCTTAATCCCGGGGTACGTTTGTTTAGTTGTATTGCCCAGTTGTCCCGGCTCAGATGTTATCCACCTCTTTCTTCCCTCCTGCACAAATCTTAATCCAGCTGAGTCCTCTTTGGGGTGGCCATTTTAAACCACCGCTGCAGTCATCTTCGGGGGAAAAAAGACCAAGCCCAGGGGGGGAGATGCGGCTCCCCTCAACCTGGCTTGCAGCTTCCCCTTACTCTGCTGCGCCTCCAAGGCAGCTTCAGCCCCTAATCGTAATGATCAGGGATCTCCAATGAAAGAGCACGGACCATAGCCACAGAGTCGCGATCTACGGTCCGTCGGTGAGGAGGCTCCACCTTCTTTTCCAAAATGCTTTTGAGTTTTAACCAAGTAAACCCTGGTGGGTTCCCAAAAGACTTTATGGAGCAAGCAGGGTCATACTATGTTTTCCTGATGCTCCTTTTCTTTGGTTGTACTATGTAATTTTCCTTTCCTGTTGTAGTTTTAGCAGACATCATGGCAGCATATTCTAATGGCAAGCCTTCCCCAGATTTCCTTAATACTTTTGTTTCATTTCTTTCCCTCACATTCTATTTCTGGATTTATTACATCCTTTTTATAGTAGGAAATAATCATTACATATATGGAGAGAAATTGGTAGCAAATGCAGCTTAATTATATACTTTCTTAATTGTGATAAATGGGTAAGGAATATGATATAAAACTATGTTCATACTGAACCTCTATTTCTAAGCATAAAAACCTCCACTTTGAGAATAGAATTGACATGCCAAATATCCACAATTTGTTGATACTTTGTTTGGTAATGAAAAGTTATTAAGAGTTATATTTGCTTTTTGTTCAAGATCTAATTATTTTTATAACTATGCAGAGCCTAACAATCTAAATGAAATCAAAAATTTGATGGAAAATTTTCATTCCATCCACTCCTATTCAAGAATATTTATGTTTGAATCATCTACAGAATGGCTAGATTGGGAAATGCAAGTATCAAGTTTTTAACACTTCCTTTTTGTAGTACAGCAAGTCTCAAAACCACATTGATTCTTATGTTGTTTAATACATTACTACTTTTTAAAACAGGTGTGAATACTTGAAAGTTGAGTTCTCTTCTAACACACATCAGCACATGCCAGCAGAAATAGCAACTATTGTCAAGTACAAATTGATGCAAGAGTTGCCTTCATACAATAAACTTTAATTGTTTTTCAAAATAAGATTTGATGCTATGCCTGGACATTTTTACTTCTATTGTATTTCCCTGAAAGTAAGCCCTAGACTGATTTTTAATATAAGTCCTACCTCCAAAATAAGCTCTAATTAAGGCCACCATCAGCTGGGGAGCATGGCCAGTACTGGAGGTGGGGAGAATGCGGGGGCCAATGGTGTCTGTCAGCAGCTGCAGCCTGTATAGTGCGGGTGTGTTGATCACCTGTTCAAGCAGCAGGTAGAGGTGTTAGGTGGCAGGCGATCCGGACGCACCATGGGAAAGCTAACAGTGGGCTGATGTGGCCATCTGCGGGAGTCTTGTCTTTGCACAGTGGCACCAGCAGATGAGGCTGAGGCACGGGGGAAGGCAAGCGATCTGGATGGGCAGCAGGCAAGCTGAGAGATGCAAAGACAAGCCTCCCGTGGCCAGCCGCCCATTCCAGCTTGCCTGCAGCCTAAGTCAATTGCATGCCTCCTGTGCCTCTGCCATCTGCTGCTTGAACGAGGTAATCAACTCACCTGTGCTGCACAGGCTGCAGAGTTCCAGAATGTGCTGACCAAGGAAGCTGCAGTTGCTGCTGGATGTTGGCCCCCATGCACTTGGTGCCTTTTATGAGTGCGCTGTATGGGGTGCCCAGCCATATTGATCACCCTGAAAGTATCTTTCCCTGAAAATAAGCCTGAATGCTTATTTTGGAGCCTCAAAAATTAAGACTGGGTCTTATTTTCAGGGAAACACAGGTTCTTTAATATTCTTGTCTTAGAAATAAACACATTATTCCATGTGATATACTTCCGCATGGATCAAAGCATGTGTGCTTTGTGCGTTCAGAGCTGAATATTTTACCAAAGGCATTCCAGGACTGGAATAAGGATAATGCCAGTGGTGGTAGAAAGGCTTAAGAAGTGAACGCAAAATATAGGGTGGATGTGCTCTAAGTACAAGCTATGGGGAAACAAGATGTTGGGAAGCTAGGTGGCATAGGTATCCAGTGCAGAGGACAGAAGAAAATTGGTGGGCAGGATGCTGTACAACCCACATACAAAAGAGAAACAGAAGGGTCCCCGCAATGCCCTATTTGCCTAATTTGCCTCAGTTGAAACCTGAATTATTCTGGTTTTTCATTACTTGGACCTGAGTTCACCGCTGGAATAGCCACCAGCTCCACCTGGATTGGCTTAGCCAAATTTCTAAGGCATAATGTTTTATTTCTATCCATAGGGCAAAACTCATTTTTTTACTTTGTATATATCTCTGACATTATGTAGCTTTCTTGGTAAAAATACAGAGTGGTTGATCACTGCTTTCTCCTGTATAGTATGAATTAATGCTGTTAATATGATAATCCCTTCTATCACCTCCCTATGTTGCTTATGGCCAAGATTAAGTGTCAACTTGCTTTAACTTGACAGCTAGGATGACCTTCGTGAGTTGGGTAACCTTGTTGGAAATATGAATGATTGGCACATATTCCTGTTATTGTTTGTTCATCTCATCCCAGAATCAAAACCCATCCACTATGATGAGGCAGCACAACAATCCATCCATCCATCTATGAATCCTTCTTTCATGTATGCATTAAATATATACTGTATATACTTTCTCAAAATATCTTGATTATGAACATGACCAATTATTGGTACAAACATATTATAAACCCACAAGTTAAAATTTATTTCTTCACCTATAAAACAAGCAGTCCAGAAGATATACAGAAAAATCCCCAGATTATTTCTTGTAAAACTTTTTTAGATTTATACAATCTTTACAGAAACATACAGTGTATCAAAATCTGCATAAATCAAATTTATAAAATGAATAAAAATGCATAGTGATCAACTTACAGAGCAAGGACATGGGATCTACTTCTTAAAAAGCAGGTTACAGTATGAAAAGTCATTAGAGTAACGGCTTATAAGATTTACGTTTAAAAATACAGATCCATTCTCACATACAGTATCATTTTAAATGGATTGCAACAATACCCATTTAGCACAAACACACCTGCACAAAGTGCAATCTCTTTCACTTATGCATAGTAATATGATTAATATATATTCAAAAATGAAATAATTTCATTCAAGGAAATATTAAATGTGCCCAGAAATTTTATCACCTTTTCCCCATCTTCTTCCACTTTTATTTCTAAGTTATTAACACTTTTTAATGGAATACCCAAAAGACAGATAATTGGAAAATAAAATCACCCTAAAACTAAATTACATCTATCTGGTCTTAAGGTCAACATTTATCCTTTTAAATAAAGAATCTCCATCACTCTTTTAGTAGATAAAATCAGTGCCAAAGATTTGTACTACTGAAATTATTTTTGTAATTCAATATACTCCCTTTTTACAACCCTATAATCCTTTAATTTGTGTTTGGGTTGGGGCAACTGGACGTAGCCGAGTGTTTATTGGATGGGTGCCCTACCTGAGGCTACTCATTTTCAGTAGATTTTTTTTTTTTTGCACTCTAGGAAACATCTGCTGCCACCTAGGATTGACCACTCAACCTTTCGAGTGGGAGACAAGCGTCTTCACCTCTAAGCCACCATGCCACTCATTTTTGTAATTCAAAATAAAATCATCTAATTTTAAAATGAATCTGAATTCATTGATTCTATGCATTAAATATTTTAGTAGAATATAGGTGTGCAGCACTTCACACCAGACCCAGAATGTACTTATTGAAATCACTCTTTAAGACTGAATATTTGGACATTTTTTTCATTCTCGCCAAAAATGTATTTTATTAACCAAACGTTTTTTTAAGTATTCTTTTTGAATTGGGGCTGAGCAGTGCTTCCAAAATAGTTTGGAAAAGGTGATTCAGGAAGTACAGGAGTGTGATTATAGAACCTACATGCAACTCTAAAGCAGTTTTTGATTGCACAGCTTCCCTCTTCATAAAAAAATGGAGACAGATACTATATTTATATCACTGAATTCTTCCAAGTACATTTCTGAAACTGAAACAGACTCCTAGCACAATGTTAATGTGCTGTATATATTTAATCTTCAATGTTTGATTTTCTCTTCATGCTATGGACAAATCTAATGTCTTAATTAAACTATTTATTTGGAAGAATGAAGTTCTCAAGTTATGTTCCAAAGAAACAAAGGCTCAATCCCCAATTCTACTATACATGGATAGATTTCTTACCAAATTCTGCCTGTAAAATAATTCAGAAATTGTTAAGAAATTGGATTCAAGTTTATGAACTGAATTAGATAAATTTTGCTATTGCATATTAGGCATAATTTTTCATTTCTGACATATTTTGTTATGCAACGAATAATATAGCAGGGAAATTAGTGCTTATATTTGGAACAAATTCCACGGGGCATCAAATTAGAGAAATCCTAATCTGTTTCAGTGCTATTTCACACAAATGGTTCATATTTAAATGGTTCATATTTAAGTGCTACCCTTTATACCAATGTAATCATTCAAAATGTTCAAGATGTTTAAACATTACTATTTTGGACACCTATGTCACATAAATGGTATGCTTTTTGCACCAATTATTTAACGTACTAATTAGTAATAAAGAGTATATTAGTAAAATTAGATTATTTAAACATAATGAGGGCATTGCAAATGTTTCCTGTTCTTAATAAGAAAAGAGAGACTTCAATATATTTATTCTGTAGCGAATTAATCTGGTTAGTTGAGGAGGAAAAATTAAGGAGGCACCAAATATACTGAAGATTCTTTTTTCAAAAAAGCAGCATGACTGTGAAAGAAGGCCACCTTGGCTATAAACCTGTGGCAGTGCTTAGTAAAATGTAAAAACAAACAGTATATAACAAGTCAATAATCCCCATATTATATACCAAGCTTTTTTCAAGTGTGAATGTTGGAATTAAAAAAAAAACTGCCTGCAAACCCCTGAGTGTAATCCCAAAGAAGACAACAAATACTTGGATCCAATTCTTTTGCTTGTGCCCAAGTGAAAGGCACTTATACACACCTGGGAAGTTGCTGATTTTCAGCCCTTTACACCATTCAGAAAGTTTACAGAAGGTCCTTAAGGAGGGCTCTGGGATATGGTTGTTACCATTAAGAGGAAAAGGAAATTACCTCTCACCCATGTTTAACCTCCTACTACTTTGGATCCAAGCTTGTGCTTCTAACTTTGTTCCAGTGAAACAAGTCAGAGCACTTTAAATGATAAGTCAGAGCATCTTAAAACAACATCCTAAAAGAAAGCAAAGAGATGTAAACATCTATTGACGTTTAAGGTAAGAGCAGTTTTTGTAAACATTAACTGCAGATGATAAATCTATCACAGTTCATCTAAGTCCTTTATCCAGATCAGGACATTCCAGGCTCCCAGCTATACAAGTTACCAGTTGCAGCAGTTTTCAGGTTACTTTCAGTTCTACACAAATTACATTTGTCAGTAGGTAGATGCAGCTATTTTTTCTACACGCTTAGGATATTGTTCATTTCCCATTTTTGTGTTGCTTTATTTGAGTCACAATCTGAAAGAAATACTTGATGTAGAACCTCTGAACGGTCCAAACATTTCCCTGATGAGATGTGAGTAAATCTATGAAGATTCTGAAAAGCAAAAGCAATAAGCTATTAGTTTTCAATTAAAAAGAACAAATCAAATTTAGTTTTTCTTTAACTTCTCAACAGCAGAGTAGGAACATAGATTAGGAACTATGTGTTGGAGCAACCTGTAAGCCTGACAACTCTATGGATCTTGAATTTTTGACAAGTTTCTGCTATTTAATTATTAGATTTACAAGAAAAAAAATAAAGGAATTCAAATATATTGCAGTAGCAGTATATACACAAAAGAGAAAACAGATCCAATAAAAATATTTTCTTTTTTGAGCAAGAAAATAAAATTCTGTGACTGAAGCTTTGGGACTTAGGTATATGAGTAGATAAGTAAGAGATGTCTGTTGGAAGATTCGGTTAGGAAGAGTGTGACCCTCCTGGTCCTCAAATGACTTGATACCTTCTATCACAATCTCCTGGACCAGCTCTGAAGGGTGGAAGCATAAAGCTCAATTTTATAATGGTATTTTACCTTCCCGAAAGGCTGATTTCAAATGATTATGGTGGAGGCTAAGGCATCAAATATGCAGGAGCTCCAATATGATTCCTGCAGGAGTCAGTCTTTCTGTCCCATTATTCAGCTTCTAAATGTACATTCTGGGAATGGTCATTGGTAGGCATAGGCAGAGGTGGGCTGTTGCCAGTTTGGACACAAACTGGTTGTTTCAATTCTGTGCAGTTTGGAGAACCAGCAAATCAGACCACTGGCTGGCTCCACACCCTGCTCATTTTTCGGGCTGTTTTCGGCCATTTTTCGGACTTTTAGAATCAAAGTTTCTGCCAGAACGGTAGCCTTATGTGCCAGTTTTATGCTGCCCATCGCTACTGTTACTCTTCTCTTCATTTTTACTCATCTACAATGAAATCCCTCATCCCTGAAAGCCTCTATGAATGTCAAGCCAGTACAGGTAGTCTTCAATTTATAACCGCAATTAAGCCTAAATTTACTGTTATAAATTGGGACCTCATGCGACTGGTCTCCAAAGTTACTGTTTTTTTTACATCATTAATGTAATGTGTCAGTCACTAAGCTAACACAGCAATTGTTAAGTGAAATCATTTTCCCTAAAGGGTGTTTTTGCTAGAAACCAGAAGAAAATGCTGGAAACAAATGCAGCAAAAAATATTACAAATGACAGTTATGTAACTGTGGGACATTGCAAACAGTCAATTCAGTCAGCTGTCAAGTGCCCAAAACATGACAACAGCGTATCTCTCTCTCTCTCTCTCTCTGTGTGTGTGTGTGTGTGTGTGTGTGTGTGTGTGTGTGACAGAAAAAGAAAGAGGGAGGGAGGGAGAGAAAGAGACAGACAGACAGACATTACATGTTGCAAATAACCAGGGTAGTCTACTGGAACTTCACACATCATTAAATAACCACTTGTAAATTGAAGACTATTTTTAATTAATAATTGCTCCTCTTCATAATCCCAGTTACACAACAATATATAACATACATAACAAGAGAAACAAAACACTAACAAAGCAATCCTGCCTACTTAATCCATCCCACCACACACTAACTTAACTCTGTAAGATCAACTTTCCCTTCTGAATTCTCACTCCCAGAAGAGAGTACATAAAGTCCTCTGTATTCTTGACTACCACTTGCAGACTGAACTCCTTCCCTCTTGCGGGGAAGGAAAGGACTATGAGCTGGTTCTGGGCTGTCGTCAATATCTTTTTGAGAGGAGATGCTAGAGGTTCTTAACAAGGCACTAGTTTGCCCACTCAGGAGACCAAGTCTGGAACACCAGAACAACTTTCTCTCTTGTTTAACCTTTCTTTTTGGTAGGCTCCTGAGTAAGTGTAGAACTAAAGTTGTAGAAAGTTCTAGAAGATGGAGATTTTCTAGAGCCTTGGCAGTATAGGCAGCTGAGCCCAGGGATGCTATGAAAACAGGATTTTTGCTCCCCCACCCAAACAATTAGGAAGCCCCTGCTTAAAAGATCCCATTTACCAGTACATATAGCAAAGTGGGCATCCTCTGTCACAGTTTCCTTTCTCTGGAGTACTTTGCCCTGGAAACGAGGAACATCCCAACCCACAAGGCTTTCCAATCCCTTTGGAGTATTAAATGCAATCACTGCTGTCAGCATCCTATGAATGTTATGTTATTACTTTTAGTGCTTAATTGTCAATTGCATTATTTAATTATAATTTTTCATTGTATTGTATAATGGAAGTAAGCCACGAGGAATGCAGTAAGATTTCAGGTAGCGGACAAATTTTATAAATAAGTAGGAAAGTAAGTAAATAAGTAAGACCTATAGGTAACACACTATTGGTGTGACTGCAACTTCTTTATCTGTCCCCCTGGCCTTTTAGAATCACAAAATAATACAAACATACATACATTCATACATACATATTAGGACTATACTACATTGTGGAAAAATTCATTAAATCTTGTTCATAACCAGTAATCATTTCTGTGATGGACAAGGCAGTTACATAGAAGAACCCATTCATCCGAAGATAATATTTCATGTCTAGCTAAACCTGTTTTATGCTATGATTTAAATCTATATAAAATTCATAAACAGAATTAATCATCATTATCCTAATGGGACTCTAAGCACTAACCAGATACCTTAAAGTACTGCCACTCCTTGTGTTCATTTAAATTGCAATGTGTAATCATAACTTTTGATCCATCAGGTCCTTTAGTCAAACACTGGTCATACTGCATAAGTTGGTTAGCTTCATTAATTCTGAAGAGCTAAAAATGAATATTAAAAACAATGCATATTTTGTTCTAATAAATGAAAAATGTTAACATATAAAATATGTTGTGTACAAGTAACACTGAAATCAGCCTATAAATATAATTAAAGAGGCATTCTTAAATATGTATTGGCAAAAATAATGACAAAAAATTAGAAAGCTATATGCTAAATATTACCATTTGAGGATAGATTTGAAAGTACATCTATTCCTAGTTAAGAATCTGAACTACTATATCATACATATCAAATATATTAAGAATGCGTGAAACAAGCACAATTGCAATATCTACAATCTATAATCTGATGCACACAATTGAAATAACTTGGATACGCATATTGAAAATAGAAATATTTTATGGACCAACATTTTATTAATATCCAGAAAATCTTTGCATTCTTCTGAACATTGAACATTTAGTTCAAATAAATATAATTTCCTGCAGAAGGTTCTGCAACTTCTGCATTTCAGCTTCTGAGTTCAGAAAATTTCAGAACAAAGTTTATTTGAAAGACTAAAATAAGGGAAGGGTACATAGAAATTAAACTGTTAAGTCTTAAGTGCACCCAAACACAGAGTGACAATATTATTCCTGTTTATATGGCATGAAAGTTATGGTAGTAACTTAAAATCTGTGCACTTTAGCTGCTTTAGTTTATTTGGTCAAAATCATATAAACTGAAGCAGAATTACAACCCAAATCTCTTTACACATAGTTTCCCTGTATATATTACATTCAAAGCAATTTATATATTTTTTAAAAAGAGAGATAATTTCAAATAACTCAGTAAAAGAGATTACAGTGTACACAGATTTATTGGGATAAGGAAAATGGGACAGTAATAACTCTTATGACACCCACATACACACAAACAATAAGAAAATAAATTTGTGATATGATGTTTATATCACAAAAATGTATCTTGGATTGGGAAAGAGAGCAGCTTCCAATCTAAAATTCATAAGCAATTTATTTAATATTTTGGCTCACAACTGAAACTATTATCTGATTCTACTTACTTGATTTCCTCCCATTCTGTGGCATGGACCGAGTTCCACAAAGCCTCCATTGGTATGACCCATGCTATCTATGCAGTATGCTGTTTCAAAACCTCTAATCTGAAACACATTTATGATTTACCCTATTGTTACAATAGTAGATAATAATAATAATAATAATAATAATAATAATAATAATAATAATAAT